AAAAAAAAACACAAATACTTCAATATGTGAAGATTATAAACTCCAACAATGGAGAATAACATATCACAAAAAAATACACACATAAAAATACATAATAAAACACAACGCGACATTCCCTCCTCTAGCTAAACCGACCCACCACGAAGACCACGTCCTAAACCGCCAACAACAGCCCCTTCAAAACGCTACCTTCAGCAACTCAAATGCAACCGCCAACACACAATGTGGTCAACCAAGCCCAGATGACGAATGAGCAGCAAATTTGAACCCAAGAAAATCGAAACTCCAAATTCACTTGAACGGCGAGACAAATCGATAGAAAAGTTCATATATGATCCTCAAAGACATCAACGAACAGTCGGAGAACCGCATCATAAGGACGTCGGGAAGGATCCAAGTGCCGACTCCTCAAGGTGTCGACGACAACCAACTTGCCCGCCGAAGAAGAAAAGGAGGAGGGGCTAAGCTCTGCTCTGTTTCTATTTTCTTTTTTCTTTTTTTTTTTATTTTTTTGTGTGCAGAGTTTAAGAGAGAGAGAGAAGCAATAGTTTTTTGATTTATTTAAGGCGTTTAGAAATTATTTTTTTTAGAAAAAATGCTAAAAACTGAAAAAAGAAAATGATTATATTCGAACTCGTTACAACAAATACAAACTCAAAATTTGAAATTGTCAAAACATCGCACTTAAAATTACATTTTATCCAATATAACTTTATGAAATGCTTTTTATCCAACATACTAAAAAACAAAAACAATTGATAAACATCTAATATATTAACCCAACATTTATAGCATTCTGATTATATAACTTATATTATTTTTGTAAAAACAATATCTACTTTAATTATATTTTTGGAGTAAAATATATCGCGACTAAGGGACGAAACTTAACTTTTGCTCGCACGACTCTAAAGTAAAATAAATTCTACCCTCCCAAAGAGAACTGAGATGAACTCACTCACTGTACGCACACAAGCTCAACGAAAATGAAAAACACGGAAGAAGCTATCGTTTTCTCACGCAGTCACACTTCTTGTACATTCATAGGGAAACCCACAACCCACAAAGAGAATAGAGAGAAATAAGTAAATGAATATAAAAATGATGGAAAGGGAACTGAATCGATTCAGGCACTATTTGATCTTTCGTCACAAAACTGTGGCGTCTAAAACTGTCTCTTACTCGGGAATTCTCTCTTCTTTGAGTTACCCAAATGCAAAATGCTAAAGCACCTCAGTCGAACACTTAATATCATGTACTCTGTAATTAACCTTCGCGATCCATTAGTTTAAGTAGGACTGCCTGTCAAAGAAAATAAAAAGAGAGAGAAGAAAGCGTGTTAATAAATTCATTCATGAAGTCGCGAAACCAAAAGGTCCAAAACGTGAGCGATAATAATCAGATTCATGAAGTCGCGAAACCAAAAGGTCCAAAGCGTGAGCGATAATAATCAGATCATAAATGCCACCAATAATTTGTGATTTCTTAGAGAGTGAACTAGCAAATATAGTTTTTTTCCATAGAAAGAGGAACAAACCGGACAACAGGGATTAATTTTCAACCCTTGATGTAATTCGTGCCATGATATTAAAAGCTTCACTGGACGAAACTCGGAAGATTGGCCATGACCTCTGTTGTCCTCAAAGGCGACTAGTGCACGTACCAAAAGATGCTCAAATGCCTGAAAATTTAGTAAAATATTCACTTTTTTCGCATACGCTTGGAAGGATCCACCTATAGTTTAAAGAATAAGCATCCACATACACACCCGTAAGCACACATTCCGTGCATAATAGTCCGATGTTTGAAACGTATCATGAACGCTTTTGTACTCTGTAGATGAAGCATGATTTTTCAGAAAGCGAACAGACGAAAACGGAGAAAATAAATAAATAAATAAATAAGCAAATACACTGGCACCTTTCATTATAGAATTAAAGTTACATAACTCCAGCTCTTTCACTTCCAGCCTTTTCATGCAAACCAAAATATAAAGCTCTAAGATGGAGCAATCTGCACAAACAAGTCAAGTTTGCAACATTATAAGAAGGGAAAGATAGAAGTTTCTGTAGGATTACAAGTTTCTGCTTCTGATAAGGTTTTTAGGTGAATGCCTGATGGTTTTAAATTAGTTTGCATTTTAAATGATTTTTCCACACCTACTCAGGCTAGTCTTTTAATAAAGGGAATTTCCAGTTTTATGACCAGTGTATGCTAGTAAAACTATTTCAGTCACTCGGAAATAACTTGCATGGAAACATGATGAAGAAAACCATACGCATATATCAGAAAGTGGAAAGAATGTGCGTTCTAAATAAAACACACATTTATTACCATTATAAATTATAACACGTGTCTCATTGTTATAGCTATGATAAAACCTAGATGATAAGTACATGCAAACCTTTCAAAGCCTCAAGCTTCGGTTGCCTCTGTATTCTCCGTAGTGATGATTTAAAATTCTCCAAAGATAGCAAACCAGAATTCGGATCCATTTGACTAACGGCTGAGAACCTGGTGGTGGTCCTCCAATGATGTCATTAAAAAGGAAATGAGAAAGACAATTTAGATTCAATTTTGGAAACATGTCGAGTTTTTACACTTACAGAAATCTCAACAGATGGCCAACCGTCGAATCAGAATAACTTAATGTGTCAAAGATTTTCTTGAAATTTTCATCTGCTAGAATGTTCTGGAAAATGTCAAGGAACTCTAACCATTTGCATCAAATGTAGAAGATTAAGGAACCATACTTGGTTTCATAGGATGAGTTTTTGTTTAAAATTTGTCTCACAGTCAAACATAAAATGCGAATGGGGAGAAAAGGAAACGAAAAGAGAAAAAGAGTAGATGAGGTCCTTATAATTGTAAAACGAAACAATCTTTTGAGACAGATAGACATGACTTACAGACAAATATATGGGACTGCGCATTCAGAAGGACGTTTCAAGAGAAAATGATAGGCACAATAGTTTTCATTTGGCGATTAAGGCCATTAAATTCGTACGTGTCATGATGGGGATTTTGTGGCCCTTATTCATCCCTATTAAACTTTGCCTAAGACACTCAGCTGGGAGTAAATATGATGCTAAATCAAAGCTGCACCACCTTAGTTTTTATTTTCAACCACTCTATCTGAATATAATTCAAGTTCATCAGCAGAGAATTAACAAGATCATGACAGTCGGGGCATGGTATATACTTATATAATTATATTACGACAATAATCGATAAGAACATTTAATAAAATCACCGTACTTCTTAGGAAGGACTAGAACCAGTCTCCTAAGTAATCCACTTCCTCCCTACTCAACTAAAAACTATTTCGAAATGGTTCAAGAAGAGAAAGAGCACCCTTAAACCTGATGTAATTTAATGGAGGTTCCATTTTTTTCTCGTTCAGATCCAGAAACAACGAAGCTAGTAATAGAATGTTCAGCTTCATAGCTGATTAAATGGCATGTATTTGCAATTACATATATGCTCAGAGTAAAATGGATTGGATCAGTGAATCAATTCATAGAAAAAGGCAACTACACAGAAAGCATATGTATTAATTTCAGGGGATGGATACAGAGAGTTCTGCATTGAAAGCAGTTGTGTAATCGTTTGGGAGTCCAGAATCTGTCGGCAATAGTAGAATGTGCGTAACAAGTCTGCACATTGATATCACTAGTCAAGATAATAAAACTATCAGGAAAGAAACTAGTCCATAGAAATCAAGAATAAAAGAATATACCTAAGCAATTCATCCTCTGAGGGAGGAAGAAACAACAACTTCCTATGTGAAAAACGAGATCTTACTCTCTTCTCCAAAAGCTGATCAGCGTCCTACAAACCACAAAAATCATGTTTACACATATTCCCCAATACTTTCTCCTAACCACTTGATACAAATAGAATATCTTAAATTTAGTCTTGATATGCATGCACAAGATGACACACAGCATCCCATATATCCAATAAAACTTGATAAAAGCGTTCTTGGTGCTCAAATGCTAGTGTCAGTGTAATAATAAATTAAATTAGAGATAACTAATGAATGCTAGTCGAATGGGTAAGGTAAGTGGAACTAATCTGCACTCAGGAGTGGAGAAAGCATACCAATCGACAACTCACTCCAACTACAACAGCTTGTGATGTGATGGATTGCATTGCATCAAGCAAACTGTAAAGAAGTCGCTGTTTTCCCTGAAAAGATTAACAAATGACATAAGCTGGAAATCCCAAACTCAACTTGTCTTGCTCGAGATATTTTCTTCTCGGTCTGGTGGTATTACCTGTGCAAAAAGATCAAACTCATCCAGCACAAAAATAATTGTTTTGTGTGCTAATCCACACTCCCTGTTGGAAATGAGCACACTATCAAGTTTCTTTCCTTTTAAAAAAACAAAAGACAAAGGGAAGGTGCCAGGTTGTCATTGAACTTACCTCAACATGGACAGCAAGAAGTGGGAGTTATCATCAAATGAAGCCTGCCAAATTAAGAAAGAGAAACAAAATGATGAGATCAAATGTATCTAGCAACTAAAACCATTGCAAAAAAAATTACCATTTTAGAGAACAGCAATTGATGCTCCAGGCACAATTGCCTAGCTATCTCCTGCATGATAATTAAGTAGGATATAGAAGTTAGAAACAAGTTGTAAATAGCACACATAACTTGAGTGCCTAAAATAAATGACAAAGTCAAACACGCATGATGAAGCCATGACATCAGAAGAGTGACAATCTGGCTTATCCATCTCCATCTAAATTCATACCAGACAACCAACAAGATATCAATATGGTAATTCTGGGCCAAAACTTCATGTTCTGCAAATTTTAGGGTAGTTTAGGTAAGGCAAAATTGACTTGTGCTGATTATTCTTGTTTTATATTATAAACATATTTTGCATTTATATTGATCATTTAACCTTTCCTTAGACAATCCTAGGACCTTCTCTGCATTGCATTAGTAAGATTATGGCCTGATAAATACACCACAAAAAAAAAAAAGCTACAATATCTTTATCTTTAATTACATCGTCATCTGACCTATTCAAAGTGCTCAGATACCCTGCAAAAGCTAGAGTTTGATGTTGTTTGCCTATGCGTAATACGCAATATAAAAAATGCATATGATCACTTCATAGCAAAGATGAAATGAGGGAAGGTATACCTTCAGTGCGCAATTGTTGTCACTATGGAGAAGCCCATTGAGTTTAATCTGACAACAAACAACAATATTAATAACTTCCAGATTCACATAAAGCTTTAGCAGAACACTCATGTAACTCTTTAACATTTTCTTGTGAGAAAAAGGAAGCAATATATGTAACCAACTTACACTAAAAATTTCCAATCAGCATTTTTAACATAAAAAACATACCACGGTAACCATGTCTTGATACTCTTTTAGTAGCTCTTCAAGAACTAGCTCTAACACCTAAGTATCACAAAGGGAACAAATCACTTGACCATACATTCATGATCCCCAAAACAGCTTATCCAGAAATATAAACATGACGAAACCATACATACCGCACTTTTCCCACATCCTCTAGGACCCAAAAGAAGAACCGAATTGTTACATGCCTCGGTTATTGAACTTGATATTATATACTTCAGTTTACTGCAAAATGAAAACGTGTGAATTTAGAAGCTTGAATTCTCGTCATTTCTCATATCATACACCGGAAAAATTGGAACGCGACATCAAAGGGGCATAAACAATAGTCACGAATGAACGAGAGAAGTACTGCAAGCGAGTAAATCATAAAATTTAATAAAAAAGACTGCTCCTTTCAGACCGAATCTAGTAATGAGAAAGTGAAAATGCTCGCGAAATCCACCCGTGCAATCACGAATGAAATCAATCAGTTTATGTACTGCTGAACCAAAGTAAAATTGCGATAACGCACATAAAAACTCGAATCTCACCACAGAAGAGAAAGCAGAAAATGGGAATAAGGCAATGAGGAACAGACCTGTAATTGGAGTCAGTAAATTGGGAGAAAAATGAGAAGACGAAAGAGGGATTGGTGAGCCTGTTCCTGAGAATGGTCATGGCTTGCTCTACTGGATTTTCATGGCCCATTTTTGCTTTCTTCTTCGATTTCTTTGCTGGGACTGTGACTGGAAAAGAGAAAGAGAGACGGAGATTGATTAGGTAAATGAATAGAGACAATAATGGCGGGAAGTTGTGAAGGTACTAGAGCTATAGCCCGTCTAAGGATGGCAATGGGACAGGTCGGTCCGGGTACCTGTGGACCCGAACCTGGCCCGCGTCCCTGCCCTGTGGACCCAACCTGCCCCGCGACCAGTGACGGGTCCAACAGGTCGGGCCCGTGCCCTGACCCGATTCGGGCCAATCGGCCCCGTCCTATACCTCGCCCCATTTTTTTCTTAACATCTAACAGCAACTTGAATAAAAAAAAAAAGAATTAAAAAAACAGCCCCCAAATTCATTTGCAGTAATTGGATTGCATACCATCTAAGTCTAACAGCAAATCGATTTTCACACCATTTTTTCTCAAAATAAATTTAACAGCAACTCAAATATAATTACTAACCCAAATATAAGCAACAATTCAATTATTCAAACCAAATATAATTACTAACCCAAATATAAGCAACGCTTCAATTATTCAAACCTTGCAGAACCCAGCACTTATTAAAACGTAGTAATCACAATTAGCATTAGCAGGGTGTCGAGCCGTCGAGGCGAGACACGGAGCAGCCGAAGCTTTTGTGTTGGACTTCGGAGATGAGGCGAGGGCCGAGAGGCAGGGTGTCGAGGCGCGGCCGCGCGGAGAAGAGAGTGTATCGAGAGAGCGGAGACGCCGGACGGCCGGAGAGAAGAGAACAGATACAGACAGAGAGTGAGACTAAAACTAAGCCTATGTTTGGTTTGGGGAAACGGGGAGGGGAGGGAAATTTTCCCCTGTTTGGTTCAAGTTTTTGTAAGGGAGGGAGGTTGTAATTTTCACTTCAAAATGAGGGAATTTAGAGGGGAAGAAAAATTTTAACAATAAATTACTCTTTTCACGTGACTGTGAATTATTTTATTTTTTTTTTTTATTCCTTACATCATTAAGAATATATTTGTTATTTTAATATTATTTTTTCTTCCCTTCCATCTTCTAACCAAACAAGGATAATCATTTTCCTTCACCTCCCCTCCTACAAAATTCATCCAAACAAGATAAATTATTTCTCTCTCTTCCATTCCCCTCCCCTCCCCTCCATTGAACCAAACATAGAGAGCGCATTTGAAAGAGGAAGAGGCGTGAACAAAAGCTTAAAAAAAAGGCAAAATTACATATAAATGCACCACCTTTTATGTTTTTGCAAGTTAATCACCACATTTGCAATTTAGCAATTTAATACACCACTTTAGTTATTTTTTGCAATTTGAATCACAGGGCCCAACTTCGGGCCTGTTCTGCTGACGTGGCAACCCGTTCTGCTGATATGGCATTTTTTTGCTGACGACATTCCACGTGTCAACAATTACATGGCATTTTTGCGCTGACATGGCGACCCATGTGTCAATTAAAAAAAAATTATGTTGTCCGCCCTATAAGGGATTCGATCCTGGGAAAACTTTTAACAATAAATTACTCTTTTCACCTGACTATGAATTATTTTATTTTTTTTGTTCCTTACATCATTAAGGATATATTTGTCATTTTAATATTATTTTTTCTTCCCTTCCATCTTCTAACCAAACAAGGATAATCATTTTCCTTCACCTCCCCTCCTACAAAATTCATCCAAACAAGATAAATTATTTCTCTCTCTTACATTCCCCTCCCCTCCCCTCCATTGAACCAAACATAGAGAGCGCATTTGAAAGAGGAAGAGGCGTGAACAAAAGCTTAAAAAAAAGGCAAAATTACATATAAATGCACCACCTTTTATGTTTTTGCAATTTAATCACCACATTTGCAATTTAGCAATTTAATACACCACTTTAGTTATTTTTTGCAATTTGAATCACAGGGCCCAACTTCGGGCCTGTTCTGCTGACGAGGCAACCCGTTCTGCTGATATGGCATTTTTTTGCTGACGACATTCCATGTGTCAACAATTACATGGCATTTTTGCGCTGACATGGCGACCCATGTGTCAATTAAAAAAAAAAATTATGTTGTCCGCCCTATAAGGGATTCGATCCTGGGTTAAAAGGGTTGAAAGGCAACCATTGCTACCACCACACCAATTCAACTTAGTTGTCAAATGTAATTACCTTTTATATATATACACATTTCGTATGAAAAAATCAAATTAAATTTAAAAGAAATTTATTTATATTAAATTAAACTATATAAAATTGAATTAAAAATAATATATTAAGATAATTAAAATATATTTTTTTGAATTCATATTTTGTGTTAGAGTGAATCGAATTAATAATATTATATTAATTTAATATTTTTATTTATTTATTTAAAATAAATTTATTATAAATATAATAACTTATTATTATATAATAAATTATTATTTCATTTAAGATTTTTAATATTTTATTATTTTATATAAAAATAACAATTTTTGTTTCATTATTCATTTACGATTATTTAACATTTTATTTACGTAAATTATATTATTTAATTTATTATATTTATTTAAGATTTTTAATTATCTTCATTTATTTTATTTTCATTTAATTTAATTTATGATAGTTTTATATTTTATTAATTTAATATATTTAATTATTCTAAACTTAATATGATTTTTTTTTTTTCTTCCCGAAACGATAGATGAACTATTATAAATCAAAAGCGCACAAATGTGCGAATAAAAGTACAAAGCTCCCAACGGGAGAATAAAATGGGAGAACAGGTCAGACGCCTGCCTAGATTCCCGCTAGCAACGCTAGAATAAAAACTCGAAACTAAACACACCGACAACACAACCAACTAAACCAACTAAACAACTAAACAAACTAAAGGACCCCAACAGGGTAATATCCGAGTGTCGGCTCCCACCAGGAGAATAAATTGACACTCAGACTTACAGGAGCCAACGGCTCAAACATAAAACACAATCCTACACAAACACCAATACAAGAACAAAAACAAAAACGAAAACAGAGACATCCTCCCCCACCAGATACGACTAGGTGAGTACAGCAGACAAACGAACTCCACAGATAGCCCCAAAGCACGAAAATTGACCGCCCACCACTGCAGAAGGCCTAGCAAGACGGCTATTCGCACCCCAGGACCAAACCACAGAGATGTCCCGCACCCCAATCACGAGAAGAGGCAACACGGCTCAACCCAGCCCAAGGCCGCTGAAACACGACAAGCGGCCAAGCTCAACCGGGAACGAGACCCCAGCCAACCTCGACCACCCACCGAGAGCTCCCATTTCTAACTCTCCCAGAAGAAACCGAGAGATCCTCCCAGTCACGAACACAATAGAATACCGAGACAAAGCAGCGAAATAGGGGCTTACCTCCAAGAAATCAGAAGCGACCACCGTGAATCGCCGCTGCGCCGGCAAAACGGCACAGTTCCGACCGGGGACAAGCAGAGCGGACAGAGGAGAATCAGCTACCCAAAGGCCCAGCAAAAAACCAATTGCATCAATCCCAACCTCGCCCATGAACCAGCACCATCCTCCATCCATCGCCAATCGAACTTGTACTCCGAAGCCCAACAAGGAGGGAGAGACCGCTCCGTTGGCCGGGACCCGAAACACAAGGGGGATCAACAATTGATAAGAGAAAGTTACCGTCATGGACGGGCGACCGGAGGCCGTCTACCGACTGACCCAGACGACCGGCGAGGGAGATCTAACAGGTGCAATTTCGAGGAAGACGACGGCTAGGGTTCGGGGAAGAAAAGGGAATTTGAAAATGGCAAACTTAATATGATTTATTCATATGTAATTCTTATATATATAAATTGTTATTGAATATGTTAACTAACATGGATAGGTGAGTTGGTAGCATAGTTACTTTTCTCCCATGGAGACCAGGGTTCAAACCCCCCCTTTCTACAACATACATATTCTTTTTTTTTTTTCAATTGACATAGACTGCCACGTCACCAGAACAGGCCCGAAAATTGGGCCCTGTGATTCGAATTGCAAGAAATAAGTAAAGTTGTGTATTAAATTGCTAAATTGCAAAGGTGGTGATTAAATTGCCAAAACATAAAAGGTGGTGCTTTTATATGCAATTTTGCCTAAAAAAAAAACTAATTACTTTATATTAATATATATTATATAAAAAAAGAATAACGGTGCGGCAGGGGCAGGGGGCGCAATACAGTTCATGGACTTCACCTGCTTATCTTACGGGTCACACCTGGCCAGACCCGTTTGACAAATGGGGCAGTTTTTTCATGCCCCAAACTGGTCGGGTCCAGGTCATTTTGTCATTCTAAGCCCGTCAATATTAAATGATTCGGATGCAAAATTTGATCTGACCCATTTTAGAACTATGTCGGAAGATAAAAGAACACCGTGTATATTAATTTTAAGAGATCGTGTATCAAAGGAATTGGTTGCGACAACCCGCATTGACGGTCGAAGGTTATGCAAGGGAATTTTTGCTAGAACCCTAGCCGTTTTGCGAATTCTTAATGCTTGAATCTTCCAACTGTAAGTACAAGAGTTTTAAAAAAGAAAAATATCGAAAATTGCCACTAAATCATATGGAACAATAAAATAACAAAAGCAAAATTAATAAATATTATCATTGATATTCGGTTCCTCTTTCTAAGTCGTGCCCATGTCTTATCCGTATTTGTTGTTATCCAAGATCTCAATCGCATGCTCGTTGCACGTCCGTCTGAGCGTCCCTGCTGTCGACTCCTGTTGCTCGGGTATTCGAATACAGGTTGGTGCTGATAGAGCGCCCGGTAGTGCATCGCGGCTGGCCGCTACCCTCGTGTCCATGTGGCTGGTTGTCCTGCCTCTTTGATACAAGCACATCAAGCTCGGTTATAAGCATTCTTGAGATGGCGAGTAGAGTTATCCAAACGAGGCTAAGCCCGCGGGCCGACCCGTCCCGCACCGCCAAAGGGACGGGTTAGGCCGTGATTTTCTAGGATGGTCGGGTTAGGCCAGACCAGGATGGCCGGGTTGGCCCGCCAATTATTATAAAAAAAATATAAAAATTATAGAAGAGGCTAATATCAGTTCAACTTTTCGTCTCGTATAAACCCCTGATTTTCTCCTCCCCGCCGCCTTCCGCTGGAAGATGGAGATCTCCATTGCGGTGGCCGAGAACCTGACGTCGCTCTACCAGACAGTTATCGCAATGATGAAGGCCTATGGAATGGCGGCACCTCCGTCCTCATCCTCTCCACAGCGGTGGTTGTAGCGATCTTGGTCGCGACGAGTTTCGCCTGGGACGTCTCGCGCAAGTCCATACACGCGCTCCTGGCGGCAAGGGAACGTGCTCCCAAATCTGTTTCGTCTCCCCTGGCACCATTAAAAGATTAATTGACGAAAATTGAAGAGTAATTTTGGTTCAAGAAGAAATGAGAGATTGTATTCGTAGGTACCCACATCATCCCCCACTACAATTCCACTCAACTAAATTTCAATAAATTAAAACAGGTTCTTATGATTTAAAAAAAAAAAATGCTCGCCAAACCCGCGACCTTAGGCGGGGCGGGTTGGGCCTGCATTTTGTAGACCCACCAGGATGGCAGGCTTCTTCACCCGCCCCTGTCGGCCCATTTTGACAGCTCTTATGGCGGGCCTTGTTCTCATAATTCTCGTCCCCTTCAAGTATGCCTTTGTCCTCAAGGACAATGCTCGAAACTTCCAAGGCTAAATCTAACAACATTCTTTAGGAGTTTCAATGATGCTATCTTTTGTTGTAAGCCACAACTATCATTTTTTGTAAGGCAACACAAGCAAAGTGTAAACCTTTCAACATTGTGAACGACCAAATAAATATCTGAATAGTTATAATGCTTGGAATATGGCAGATGATATACTCCTTCCAGATTTCATGAGCCGCTACTATGTCCGCCCACAAAACATCAAGCTTGAGAAGAAAATTGTACGTGCAACCATTTTTTAGAATCTCGTTGTGCTCCATCAAATCAAGCACTCAGTAGCATGATCTAGGATATTTAATTGGACACAGACTTGTAACAAAATATTATAAAATGACAATGGTGGATATACGCTTGGTTTTTCTCTTTGAATGTGCAAAATTTTGAATGCCTCTTTCAGATGATAACCTCTATAGAGAGGCCAGATTGCCATAAAATAACATTTGCCACTCAACTCAACATCCTTCTCCAACATGACTTTCCAAGGTTCCATGACAACAGCGGATGGATGCTTTCGCACAATACTAAAGAACATAAGCAAAATGACGAGCTTGAAAATGGCATGACTCGACTATCGAGCACAGACAGGAGGCAAGGAGCTCTACCTCTATCGCCCGAGTAAAGTGCATTAACAATCATGCATGGAGCCACATGGGGCCCATAGGGGCCCCTGGGCCCTATATACGTTATATATCTATATAAATATATATAAAGAAAATTTTATAAAATATATATAGAAATGTAAAATATTTACAATATATTAATAATTGAGAAATATTTTCTATGCTATTTTAATTTAAATTAATAGTATTATTTATTTATTAAAAATGTACTAACAATCCTTATGTTTTACATTTTTAGATAAGTTTTTAAAAATGTTTATAATGTTTGAATTATTTGGTCTCTTAATTGTAAATAAATTTAGTGATTTATAAAATCGAGTATTTAGTTGGATAGCTATATTTCTTAATGTTGATTTTTACTTTTTGTTTTCTGTAATCACATATTTTTAACTTCATTGTATTTCTTAAAAATTGTTCATTTGATAAACTTTCATCAACAAAAATGCTATGCAATATACAACAAAAGTTCAATTTATATCATTTTTTCAACCAAAAAACTTATTTTTTCATAAATTATAGTTGTTGAACTTGAATTATAAATACATAAAATCACATATATATTAAAAGGTTGAGGGTGATATAGATTCTATGTTTTTAAAAACTTGATGATACACATTTCGATATTTATATGTAGAGTAATAAATTTTCTATATAAAATTTGAGTTTCGACTTAAATTACAAGTTCATTATTTAACATTTAAAATCAGACCCCCCCCACCCGCCCTGATATAAATTTCTAGATACGCCACTGTTAACAATTTACTCTTGCATTGACCTTGAAAACGGCTTTTCACAATAAGTTGCAAAAAGTCAAAATGCTTCAGTAACACTAGTTGCATTCTCCCCGTGTTCCCCATCCACCTCCGTCGCGAAAATTTGGCTGCCATTCTTCCATAATTGCTTCAGGCTTTTTAAGCCCACCTCTTTGACTTCTTCGTCAATCCCGACCTTTAACTTGACGATTCCATCACCCCATCGAAACTCCATTGCACGACCCTACAATCAATCGTGATTGGCCCCAAACCTTCTAACCATTGAATTCCTAAGACGATATCCGGTCTACTAATGGCAATGCATAAAGGTCAACGTTTATCGTCACGCCTTGGAACTTAATGGGCACTCCCAAGAAGAATTCAGAGCACCTCAATTGTTCTCCATTAGTGACTCTAATGTCAAAAGGATCTAAGTTAGTCACAAGAAAGTGAACTTTGCTGGAAAGAGAGGGCTTGATGAAATTGTGGGACGAGCCGGTATCGACTAGTACCACTCAGTGATCCCGATGCCGGTAAATTAATTGACTTTGGCCCTTGTGTCTCAGCCATTGCGTGAATCGAGATCTTCGGGTCATCCTCGCGGTGATCAATATTATACTTCGGTTTGACTTTCGCTCGTTCTTTCTTGTTGGAATCCATGCATTCAATTAGAAAGGTCTGCCTCCTTGCATCTTTGATCGTTAACAAAATTTCATCGCACTTGAAGCATATACCTTTCTCCTGTCGTCTCTGCATCTCATCCCAAAACAATCGCCTAACCCCAGGGGGTATAGGTCCTGCGCTTACCGTCGGTGATCCTTTTCGATTTTTTGCAAATCGTTGGGAATATGGCATGGCCATCGAACTTCTGGTCGGATGGCCTTTCGCACAGCTGTCAGGCGATAATCGCGCATCAGGACGACCTCTGTTGCTGCGTGCATGGTCTTCGACCTTTCCATTTGCACCTCGGTTACCAAGTCAGGTTTTAGACCCCCGACAAATGCGCATACTAGTGCTCCTTCGGGAAAATCATGAACACGACTCGCAAGTCACAATGCGTCTAAACTCTATTTGGCATTCACGCAGGCTTCCAGTTTCTTAATATGCGAGAGGATTTCATCATAATCATGATAATCCTACAACCCAAACTACACAATTAATTCATTTATTCCAGCGAATCCAAGTATCACTCTTTTTGTAAACCATTAATAACCACTGCCACCATACGTTCGCCTTTCAATCATGGTAGAAAGCAGTGAATTTGACCCTTTTCGATGTGGGTATTTCGTTGATGTCGAAATACTGATTGACACGACTCAGTCATGAATCTGGGTCTGTTCCATTAAAGGTAGGCAGGATCAGTTTTGGTCTCTCGCTCTTGCCCTCTCACGGTGGTTCGATCCCCTCGATCGGTTCTCTTCATCGTCTCTAAAATTGTCCCGAAACTCCAGCTTTTTCTGAGTCTGCGAGTCGATTGGTTTCCTCGTCGCGATCGTCGGTCGGTCGTTTGGATTAGCATCTGTTCAATCCACGCCACGACCTGGTTCCTTGATTATACGTCATTGTTGATGGAACTTACACTCTCCTCCAATCGATCGATGCTCTCTCTGTTCGACATGATGATACACGATCAATTCTTTCAATGAAAACACCAATGATGAATATCATATATCAAAATGATAGGATGCGATAACCCGCGCTGTCGGTCGTTGGTTATGCATGAGATTTTGTGTTAAAACCCTAGCAATTTTGTGAATTCTTATTGCTTGGAATCTTCAATACAAGAGTTTAAAGAAGATAAATACCATAATTGCAACTAAGTCACAAGGAATATTAAATTAACAAAAGCAAAGGTAATAAATATTATTATTATTACTACCCGGTCTAGGCTGCATGTTTGCTGCTCGCTGCAACTAGGTCTCAACCGCATGCCCTTTGCATGTTCTTCTGTGCGTTCGGTTACTGTTGGTTGAGTGTTGCGCGCACCAATTGCTGTTGTTCGAGCGCCCAATAGTGCGTTGCGACTGCCTGCTGCCCTACGATTGAGATGACGGCCCTCGTTGTAATCAACACCCTAGACCAAACTCAATTTTAGATTCCACAAGGCCCCAATGAACTAATCTTCATAGCCCAAGTAGCCTTCTCTTTTACTTTCCAACTAAGCAAAAACTAAAATCATCAATCAAAATCTATATTATTACGAAAATGGAACATGAAAAAACACACAAATAATATGAAAAAAAAATATTTAATAAATAAATAAATCTGAACAAAAAATCTGTCCATTGACTTAAAAAATTCTTGATCAACTGCCACCGCTCCCCACCACCGGCTAATGGCGTCTCCGTCGACCACCGCCACCAATATCATGCTGGCGATCTGCGAGAAGAAGACGAACTCGCTCGACCTCTACCGGCCGCTGCGCAATTTCATCGTCATCAACTACTCCGAGCGCGAGGCGCAGAATCTGGAGGACGATCTCCAGACCCTGAAGCAGCTCCGCTCCGACGTCGAGCGTGGCGGCGATTTGCCGTCGGCTCGGCGGGACCTCCTGCAGAGCTACTATAAAGCCCTCTGCGCGGTGGAGTCCAGATTCCCAATTTCGCCCGACGAGGACCACGTCAATACGGTGTCGTTCACTTGGTTTGACGCGTTTAAGAACAAGCAGAAGGCGACTCAGCAGAATATACACCTAGGTAGGTGCTCCTTGATTGTACTGATTAGGGATATGTGGTTTAGCAGCTCACTCCCAACAAAGGGAAGTGAAAGGAAACCTTGTTGGTAGAGAATGGTTTATGAATCAATTAGTTGCTCGGCAATAATCATGGCTTAAGTATGTCATGATAAGTTTGGGCATCCTTGCTTGGAATAACCAGTGTTATATTTTTTCTTGACATTTCTAATCCTTGATAGCTTAATTTGATTCTTGTAGAAAAAGCTGCTGTATTGTTTAATTTGGGGGCAGTGCACAGTCAAATGGGATTAGGTTACGACCGATCTTCTGTGGATGGTAGGAGGCAGGCATCACACTCGTTTATAGCAGCAGCTGGAGCATTTGCTTTTTTGAGGGATAATGTAGCCATGAAAGCATCAATCGGAAGCTCAACAACAACAGATGTATCCGTGGAATGTGTGGGAATGTTGGAGAGGCTGATGTTAGCTCAGGCTCAAGAATGTGTATATGAGAATACCATTGCTAAAGGGAGCAGTCCTGGAGTGTGTTCAAAGATTTCGAGACAGGTACTTCTGTGAAACTGCCTATTTTTCACATCCTCTACAATTAATTTACTATGTTTTACCGTGTATGCATGTTTATGAATCATGAACGTTGAGCTTGAAAAAGTAAGTGTCCAACATAGAGAAGACAGTGGAGAAGGCTTTTTTTAGGTGTTAGTGAACTGTAGCAATTGGTTCCAGGTATATAGATGAGGAGTACGAATCCGATTTCTGTCTCTACATTGCATGTTGTCTTCTCATTTTTTCTTTGATTATTTGAATCTTATTGAACTGAATAACCTCTTATTCTGCTAGTGTGGGAGTTGTGGTATTTACTTCATCTGGCACACATGATGAAACCATATTCCATCTGTTGCTGAAAAACATTTGATGGAGGAGATTTTGTTTATTTCTGAACTTAAAACTCAAATCTTACTTAGTTTTCGACATAAATTTTCTTATACCATGTGGGAATAACTTCAATGACCTTGACTGCAGGTTGGGATTTTCTACGAAGAAGCCCTGGCAGCCTTGAGTGTTTCCCCTTTAAACCAGCTTTTCGAGAAGGCTTGGATTGCTCATGTTCAGCTAAAAGCAGCCTTGTTTTATGCAGAGGCCTGCTATAGATACAGTTTAGAGCTACATGATAAAGAAGAAATTGCTGAGGAAGTCGCACGCTTGAAAAGTGGGGTTAGTGCCTTGTCTGATGCCAAAAAGTCATCTCCTAGAGGTGCAGCTCAGCAACTCTTGGATGCAATAAATAAATTGGAAGCTAATATGAATCGTAACCTGGAGAGGGCCGTGAAGGAGAATGACAGAGTTTACCTAATGAGAGTACCTTCGGCCAGTTCTTTAGCACCACTTCCCACTTTTTCCATGGTTAAGCCTATGCCGATGAACGAGGTGTTGGATGCTAGCAGGGAAAAGTTGTTTGCAAGTCTTGTTCCTGATAATAGTGCAAAAGCACTTTCTAGGTACACTGAGATGCTAGATGACATCATTAGGACCCAGGCTGAGAAGTTGCAGCAGGGAAGTGAATTAGCACGAGTGAGTCTGAAGGAAATGGATTTGCCTGATTCTATTCTTGCTTTGGAAGGGAACTACTCTTTGCCAACATCTCTAAAAGAAGATGTAGAGGCGGTTCAGATATGTGGGGGCCCTGCTGGTTTAGAAGGTGAGCTTCAGCAGTTGAAAGACTTAAGGAGGGTCAACCATGAGATGTTGGTACAGGTTGAGGAGCAGATACAGAAAGAGGCAATTGATGACTCACAGTTTAGAAATCAGTTTGGAACTCGGTGGACAAGGCCACAATCAAGTACATTGACAAAAAACTTACAGGACAGTTTAAATAGGTTTGCCGCTAATCTGAAGCAAGCTGCAGAAAGTGATGCTCGAATTGAGAGATCTGTGAGAGAACATTCAGCACTTATGTCAATCCTTGACGTCCGTCCCGTAAGTCAACATTTTTGGTTAACATTTATCTGGCTTTGCTGTCTCCTAATTTTTTTATTCAGCTTACCAATGAATTATTGGTTTTATTTAATATTCTATCCGGCTGCATTATCCTCCATACTTTTGAATCAGCAACTAATGTATTGGCTTTATCAAATGTTACTATACTTCCACTGTAAATCATTGGATGTGACCAAATTTTAGACCTTTTATTTTATAAATAAATTGTCATTTAATGAGAGCAAATTGACAGTTTTGGTTTCTGTGGCACCGAAATGTTTCTTGTAACCTGAATTGTGCTCACCCCTTGTGATAAAATCAAATAGAATTAGAATTGGAAATAAAACTATATAGTTTATACTGTTTAGTTCTGGATGGAAACTAAAGTATAATCCTTATGTGATACATTTTTTGCCTCATTATAGATCGAGTCTGCTCTGCCAACACTTGCTAAGCCAATTATGTCTCTGGATGCAAATGAAGATGCTACAGTAGGAGGCCTGAAGCAGAGCTTGGTAAATTGGTGAATCATATTTTCTTTTCATCGTCGTTCTGTCTGCCCATTCACCATTTTCCTCAATCATATTATTCCAGTAAATAAGCATAATTTTCTCATACTGTTGATTGGCACTGAAAGCAATTGGCTATTGATGTGTGTAGAATGAAGTCAGTTGTTGATGCTTGATAGTTTGCTTTAGTATTCTAATGGACTTCTCTAAATATATAAAGAAGTTGAAAGTTCCTGTTGTCTCCTGATATACTTTAAGCCTCATGGCTATGTTTTCATTTATTTCTGGTGTATTTAACTTTGAATTTCATGTTTCTTAAATAAGTTTGCACTAAGAGATGGATAATATCAAAATTCAACGGTATAGGGAGAGGTGAAAGCGCGTCTCGATCAGTACAATCACACCTTTGCGTCTTTGCATAGCTCCTTCCTTTTTAAATACTTGGAAAAGTAATTTCTGAAACGACCTGTGTATCCTGAAGGTTCCAAATATTAGTCTTAAGGCGAAATAAAGATTTGTTTTTTTACCATGAAATGAAAAATTAAACTATTTTTACCTCCAGAAGGAACAAAATAATCTGGTTATTCAACTTGTATATGAGACTTGGATAAGACAAATGTTGGTATGGCATAGATGAGTTTGAACAAATTTTGCTTTTGTGGATTGGGCATGAGGATTAATGTGACGGCATAATTGATAGTTATGTATTGTTACTATTGTGGTCTGTGCATTTTCAACAGAGAAGTTGGTTGCCTGTGGTGTTGGGTGTAATTTTTACTAAACATGCTGGTGAAATACTGTGTTGACAGAATATTTGAGCATGCAAGATTATAAGATCAATTGTTGGTCGCTTATGGGTTGCAATTTGAAATTGCCTAAACTTTTTTTTTTCCTTTGAGGGCTTATGGGTTGCAATTTGAAATTGCCTAAACTTCTTTTTTTTTCCTTTGAGGACATTTTATTGGGACCGGTGTATCAACAAGCTTGTTGATGATTGTGTCTGTTTGCAGAGGCAATTGGAGATGCTTGGTGCTCAGAGAGCAGGCCTTGAAGACATGTTGAAAGAGATGAAGAGGAAGGTAGGATAGTTTCAGTGGTTTGTTTATTATGTAGTTTCTTCTACTTCAAAATGATTTAGACATTTTGGATATCAAAATAAATTTGGCTGATTAAGCTCTTCTTTTTCTATTCTTGAAAATAAAAATGATTTGCAAATCTTGGATATCGAAATAATTTAGGCAGAGTAGTATTTTCTTCTTGTTTCCTTTCCTATTCTTGAAAATCAAAATGGTTTAGACATCTTGAATATCAAAATTATTTTGGCAGATTAAAAGCAATTTTTGAATGGTTAACTAAACAATTTTGATAGAGGGTCATGAATTTCAAATGTTAATGAAATCGGTATTTTATTTTTGTCTTCTGTATCAGTTTAATATATTATTATTATTGTTGTTGTCGTTCAGGATGATATACTGCCCAAGCTGATGACCTTTACTGGTTCCCATGAGGATCTTTTTAGAAAGGAGATATCGAAGTATGACAAAATTTGTGAGGAGATTGCTCAGAACCTAGAAGTACAAGACCAACTGTTAATGCATATTCAGGTCTGCTTTTTCGTTGAACCTGCTTTTTCTCTTTACTGGTGGAGTATCTGAATCATCTCCTGTCTGGCTGTAAATGACCTAAGTTTATGGTTTATTCAGATACATATCTTTTATGAACTTAGCTGTTTGATTGACTGTTTAGTGAGATCTAAATCCCAAAGGATCATATTTGGAATTTGGATTCCAAAGGCAATATTAATGTCTTTTGCTTCTCAGTCTTCTAACACAAAGGTTGCCTCCATATATATCTAGTTAACTATAAACACCTTTAGTGAATACTGATCCAACTTATATACCTGTAACGATGGAGCACAAGGATTGTCTGTCTTAACAAATGATAGAGCTCTTGTTGCATATTCTGAAAATTATGTGGTCTGGAGTATGCATATAACTTCAGTATAATTAACTTGTGATGTGAACCTGCTGTTGTTCCATTCCGAATATTGTAAGTTCAAGTGTCTTCTTATCCCTCCTGAATCTGATTATATTTTTATTTTATCTGGAAGTAGTTGAACTTGGGGGGATATTAGAAGCTTTGCATACCAATCGTAAATCTTCCGCTTTAACATAATATATCTTGTACAGGCTCAAAACGATGAGTTTGCTGCTATCTTTAACCTTGAAGATTATAAAGGTATGGTGTACCCTTCATAATGTTCTCCGGTCATACTTGAAATTTAAAATGCGAGATATACTGAGCTTGAAGGAATATCAATCTTTGCTTGGTATTAAAGTTCATTGTTTCGATCCTCAGCATCTCGGGAAAAGGGTTATAGGCAAATTGAAGCTGCTGTAGCTAAATATCGAGAAATCAAGGACAACATTAATGAAGGACTGAAGTTTTATGTTACGCTTCAGGTAGAGTATCCTATTCTAACTGTATTCTGTTTTATTAATACTTCATCGAGAAGAATATTAAACTTAATTTGCCTAGTCAAAAGACAAAAATGCTGTGTTTCCCGTGTTCTACTTGGAACTTCAACCTCTTTTTGCCAGTGACTATTATTAGCTTGGATTTTACTCATTGGTGTCACTGTAGCACATAATGAGATGCCTGATATGTTTACATAATCTAAATATGTCAAAGTATGGTGAAAATGTGGACATGCAGTACAACATGAGTAAACGTGTAAGTAATATGATGGTACATAAATGATAAAACAGTAAAAGTTGGATGAGAAACAAAATCTTTTATGTCAATAATGCCGGATATGGAGTGTAAAGGTATTAACCCAGCTGTTAGTAGTAAAACAAATTTGCTCAAGGAGTGATTTCTGGCTGGGTTTAGCTGTTATTTATCTGTTGCAACTCATTGCCAAAATCTTAAAACTGCTTTTTCTTTTCTCTCTCTCTCTCTCTCTCTCTCTCTCTCTCTCTCTCTCTCTCTACAAAATCATTTGTCTCCTAGTTTTTATTTCTAGATGAACTGAACTCCACTCAAGTTGCATTCTTTTGCGAAAACAGGATGCTATCACGACAGTGAAGCAACAGTGCAGTGATTTCGTGATGACCCGAAACATCCAATGCCGGGAGATGATTGAAGATGTCCAGAGGCAAATATCGGGCCTTAGTTTCCAGAACAGCAAAACCAATTCCGGCTACTCCTTTCCTCCCACTGGGCAGCCTCATCAGGCCCAAAGGCCCCATCCTCAACCTCAACAGGGACCAATGAGCTTGCCCACGACCCCCAATTACCAGCCGCCACCTCAGCAATCCTCAATGCCCACATATGCTCAAACCCCCCAACCCTATCATTCACCTGCTTCAAATCCTTACCCACCTCCACAAAACCAGCAGCCTGCTGTGGGCCATGATTATGGTCAACCTCCATATTCGGGCTGGCAAGGCCCGTACTACAATGGGCCTCCTCAGCAACCGGGCCCATACACTGTTCCATCTCCATACCCTCCACCTTCCCACCCGAGTGGCTACTACGGACAATAATAGAATTTTTAGGTATTATCTGCATGTATATTTTATCTGTTACTCACTTCACATGTTTTGGTGGTACAGTTTAAACTTCTGGTTTTATTCGGTGAGCAGTTTGAGTAATGTCATTTATACGATCTGTAGATCTTGTCCGGCTATCAGTTTGTACATGACCCATTTGTTGCTCTCTTCATTTTATATTATTTTTGGATAATCAGAAATAGTTTCTCATACTGTGGTGATTTGCTGTATGAACTGCTTGAAATGTTTTCTAGCATTATCATTGTTCATAAATTTTTCTGTGGTTGTTTACTGGTCTGATCGTGAATAATGAATAATGCAATTGCCCTCAGTATGGTTTTTGGATTATGTATATTGCATCTATCTTCTCCATGAGGTATTAACCCCCCCCCTTATGATATTTTGCCTGTAAACAGTATGCAAAGTAAAAACAGCAGAGCTCTAGTTCCGTTTCATGTGCTTCCACTCCGATAAATCTAATTGAAATCATGGGTTCTCGTTCTAGTGCAAATATGTAACGAAATCGCTATGTTATTAATTTTTGTTAAACGAAACGAGCAACTCGTGAGCTCGGCAGGGCTCGGCTCGTTAAGACTCGAGCGAATGAGTTGCGCTCGAGCTCTTTTAGTTACTGATCTGAGTTTGGCTCGTTAGGACTTTTTTTTTTCCAAAATAAGCTCTGGCTCGTTAAGACTCTAAAATATAGAAATTTTATGCAATTTTCTGTAGCTCGGTTTGTTAATATTGATAAATGAGTCGAATTTTGGCTCGATAAAAGCTCAAACTCGAGTTTGGCTCAACTCGTTTACACCTCGACTTTCATCAAATTCGGGCTAGTTCGTATCAACTTTGAATTCGACTCGATTCATTTACACCGCTGCTTGCTTTGAAATTGAAGGTAATACTCATCAATTTTTTCACTAATCATACCTCAGAAAACATAAAAAACTAACAAAATATGGTAAAGAAAATAAAAAAGTGCAGCACAATTGAGAAAAGTACAAAAAAAATGCTGTTGAGGCGGATGACACTGCCATCTTCTATGCTGTTTGGCCATGCATGCATTAAAAACGTGTAATTTGTTTCAAAACTTTTGTCTTCTAATCACCTCCTTTTTTCCCAATTTATACACAAAACTTTCAGTTAACAGTAACACACAACTTCAAGAAAAGGGGAAAAAAAGAGTGAAAATTGTTTCTCATGGAGAGAGTACATTTTCTTGTGTTGATTGTTTTTTATGTCCATCTAAGTTGTGTAGTCGGGTCGAATAATGTTCCGGCGATTTTTATCTTTGGGGATTCGATTTTCGACGCTGGAAATAATCATTACAACCCGAACTGCAGTGTCCAGGCCGATTTTCCCCCTTACGGCTCCACTTTTTTTCACCATCCGACCGGGAGGTTCACTAATGGCAGAAGTGTAGCAGACTTCATTTGTAAGTCCACACACACACACACATATATATATACACACTGATTGGTGTGATTATTATTTTATTTTTTTTAATTCGGCAAGATTTCGCACATGATGATGAGGAGTTGATTATTTGAGCAATCGAGTTGTGTTCGTATTTAGCATTCGTGTCGAATTTGGTTATGCTCAATGTAAATCGTACAATTCGGTAATTGAGTTAAAGGCGACTATATTATTAGCATTCGTGTCGAATTCAAGTTCGTTATGTTCGTTTTTTAGTTTTGTTTTTGGTAGTCTGCAAAATACTTAGGAAAATGTCGTCATGATTTAATGAATGGCAGCTGAATATTTGGAAATACCTTTGCAAAAGCCATTGTTGGAGATAGAGCTTGAGATCGTGAAAGGGACTCGGAAGAATTTTCCGACCAACGGAATCAACTTTGCTAGCGCCGGCAGCGGTGTTCTTCCGGCCACGAATAATGACTCCGTAAGACATTGATTTTACATATTTGTCATTTAGATTATTAGATGTATGTTAATTAATAGTTAAAAGGATTAATATGAAGTAAATTATGAATTCGGATTTAAGAGGGGTAAAGTAATGTAAATTGAAAAAAATCGACCTATTAGGATAGTGCAGCAGTATGACTCAGCATGAGACTCAGGGGGATCCGACTTTAAAGTTTAAATGTTATAACGAGTTTGTAGTTTAAGTCCAAACACTCATTTCATGTAACAAATGTATTTACCATAAATATAAATATCGATATGTGTACCATCAAATTTTTAAAAACTTAGAATCCCGTATCACTATCAAACTTTTAAAAAAATTACAAACAAAAAAGTATGAGATTTTATATATTTAGAATTTAACCTCAACATCTATAATTTATGGAAAAATAAGTTTTTTGTTGAAAAATTCATTTAAATCGAACTTTCGCTGCACATTGATAGTATTTTTATTGATAAAAACTTATCAAATGAACATTGTGCTAATAAAAAAATAACTTAATTTAAAAATATGCTATTACACAGAAAACATATGTAAACTAACCATGAACATCAAACTAACATAAAGAAAATATTCTAAGGTTTATTTTTCGACTCTCAACTTGCATAAAGACTATATATAGAGTGAATAATATAATGATCTTTTGAAAAAAAAAACATTATAATTAGAATAATAAAAATAATTATTATAATTCATAAAATTTAATCTCATAGGCATTATATCTTAAATTATTTGAATATTACAAAGTTCCAGATATTTTAAAAAATATTAGATGAAGGAAGAAAACATTATAAATATAAAATATAATTACAATATAATCAAACTTGAAATTTTTCAAAATTAATTTATTGAGTTATAAATAACACACACACACACACACACACACACACACACATATATATATATATGTTTGTATGTGTGTGTGCGCGCGCGTGTGTGTGGTTAAAAAAAATTATCATTTTGACAAATCGAGTATAAAATATGAGTATTATTTTAATAGTTAACTTTCTTATTTTTTAATTGGTAGTTGTATTTTAAGTTTTTATCATTCTAATATAATAACATATAATTCTTCACTTCTACATTTTGATAAAAATATTTAATTAGCAAGCACCTGTGTTGTTCACGAGTGTTATATTAACTGTAGAATAAATTAATTGTTATATCTAATTTTAACATGAATGAATATATATAAAATAAAACAAATAATAATTCATAAAAATATTTTCTAAAAATTAGAAATAATATTTTAAAGAATATTAATTTCGTATTAATTATTTATATACTTCTTATATTTAACAATAAGAATTTCAATTCTTTTTCTATTTTTATTGGACAATTATTTTTTTAATGAAACACTTGTTATACAGTTTTAACTTTTAAACAGTTGAGAAGAAATTTTAATATACACGCACGTACACCCTCACTGGGTAAGACCTTAGAATATTTATCTATGATATTTACCAAAAAATAGCCTAACTAGTTTAGTCTTTTAGGTCCAATGACAAGACTTTCGTGTCATATATAACCTAATCAAAACCTCTCATTCATCATATATTAACCTAATCAACCATCTTTTCATGTCCATGAGTAGGGTGTCACACCAATCCAAGTCCAGCTTCAACAATTCAAAACACTAGTCCAACAAAATCAAATCGACAAGAAGCTCGTACCCGACTCGCTCTTCTTCATACAATCGGGCTCTAACGACATTTTCAGCTACTTCTATCCATTCGACCCTACCACATTGCCACCAGAAGTCTACGTGCAATCCATGCTGGCCCAAGTCGAAAACTTCGTGGACACGATTTACAAGCTCGGGGCCCGACGGGTGGCCCTTTTCGCGCTAGGCCCGGTGGGTTGTGTTCCGGCGCGAGCACTTTTTCCCGGTGCACCTCTGAGGAAATGCTATGGAAAGATGAATAGAATGGTCAAGGATTTCAATATGGGCCTCGAAAATATGGTGACAAGTTTGCCGGTGAAGTACCCGGGTGCGGTTGGGGTATTCGGAGCGATTTATAAAACGGTTCAGATTCTTCGAGCCAATCCTAAGCGCTACGGTATGAACCCTTATACTTTCTGTTAATCAACTAGCTTAACCATTTTTTATATGTTAAATTTACAAGGTCCATGTTTTAAGGTGATCTCAGAGATGGTTGTGCACAAATTTTACTAACATATATAACATAATCATAAACTACAAGTTAAATCAAAGGGTGACTTGAAACTACTAGAAAATTATCCAATTCCAGTGGTAATATATTACAATGGAATCTCAATGTAATGCCATAATTTTTGTTGAAAAATTCCAAATAGAAATTTCAACGAAAATGTTATGTTGGATTTTATTTTCGTTGGAATTTGATAATTCAATTACAGTTTTTTGAACGGGCTAAGATTGTTGGTGGGAAAAAGAGTTCGAACGAAAATTCCTACAACAATAAACCGTTGAAAAATATGATGTTGGAATCTTCAAATTCCAACTAGAAATTAAATTTCAATGAAAAATTTATGTGGAGCGGATATGTCAGCGGAGGTTATAACCAGTGTTCTAAAAGTCGCTAGGCGCTCGACCATCGCCTAGAGCACTTAGGCGGGGCCTAGGCGACGCCTAGTCGGGGCCTAGAAATCAATATTAAGTACATGATTTTTTATTTATTTTAACTACCTACAAAATAAAACTATCTCAACTTATAATAAATCGACATACTTAAGTCCAAATACAAATATTAATATATTTTAAAGAAAACATGAGAACTAAATAATGTAATTAGTATTTAAAAATATAAAAAAATTGTCGCCGAGCTCGCTTAGAAGCGCCTAAGTCCGCCATGCCCCCCTAGGCGCCGCCTAACCGCTTGGCCGCCGAGCCCGCCAAGTCCGCCTTGGAGTGCTTAGGGCCGTCTGACCGATTTCTTCTGCTAATTTGTGCAAATCGGATGCGTCCGGGCACCGCCTAGAGGGCGGACGCCTAGGCCGATTTTTAGAACAGTACTGGTTATAACATTAGAATGTTTATTGAAATTGCTGTTGGAATTTGATGTTAATTTATGTGATGTGTGAATATTCAATTGAACTCAATAAATAAACTTTAAAAATCATATGGTTTCAACATTTTAATATTATCTAAATTTTCCACAAAATTTCTATCTCTAAACCAAATGATATCTAATAAATTTCAATTATTACATAAATTGCAGGATTTAGTGATGTAGAAAATGCATGCTGTGGATATGGGAATTTGGGAGGAGAATTACAATGTGGAATGGAAGGCTACACAGTGTGCAAAAGCCCAAACGACCACTTATTTTGGGATTTTTTCCACCCATCAGAGCGCACGTACAAGCTCATCTCCAAAGCCTTGTGGGCCGGTGGGCCCAATCGAATCCGCCCATTTAATTTGAAGAAACTATCTAACATCACCCTTCCTAATCACATATGATAATCAAAGGTTGTCTATGGTTATCATTAAA